ACTTAAGGAGTCAAAAAGCAAGACCAGTTTTATGAATATAGTATACAGGTTTTTGAAAAACTAGTATTATCAAATGCAATAAATTTCATGGAAAATTAATCCAGTGTTTTAGTTGTGAGTTAATTTCTACAACAGAAACATGAAGACATGCATGTGACAAAATTTAAAATGAAGTTCTTTTTTCTTATTTTAATAATTTGTATGTGTTTATTTCAGTTAGGACGTGATTACATAAAGGTCTGGGGACTTGTACTGATTCAGCTTGCAAATTTCTAAATTTCATGCGATGGAAGTTTAAGTGGGAGGAAAGTTATAGAAATTCAGTCAACCTGATTCTCCTCTTTGCTTTCAGTAATAAAATATATACCAAAAGAATAGATGTTTAAACTTTATAATTCCTAAATTATTTATTCTTATTTATTCTAATATAAAACCCCCCTTTTCAAAGAGCAATACAAAATGAGAGAGCTAATAGCAAGAATACATAAAAAATGATTTATATTATTGAATATCATTTAAATAGTTGTTTCTTGTCTAGTAGTGTAGGGGAAAAAATGGACATTTTTCTGTAAGAAAACTACACATTTTAATTTATTTACTATGTTATTCCTCTCCTGATTATTTGATGATACACAACATAAATCTAACACAGTTATAAACAATATAAAACCTGAAGATACATAGTCTTCATTGGTACTGATCTAATATCAAGGGTTATCCTGTGACTTAGGCCACTGTCCTTCTCTGGACCTCAGTTTCCTTATGTGTAAAGTAGAGCTGATAATATTGTTTTCCTACAAGGGCGCCTGGGTGGCTCAGTTGGTTAAGCGACTTCCTTCGGTTCAGGTCATGATCCTGGAGTCCTGGGATCGAGTCCCACATCGGGCTCCCTGCTCAGCAGGGAGTCTGCTTCTCCCTCTGACCCTCTTCCCTTTCGTGCTTTCTATCTCTCATTCTCTCTCTCTCAAATAAATAAATAAAATCTTTAAAAAAATATTGTTTTCCTACGTGATGGAGTTGTAAAAATTATCATAAAATATCATATATTGTAAAGCACATGTGTGCTTTTTAGCTGGAAAGCTTTTTTAGCTGGAAAGCTAAAAAAGAAAAGTTGAACTTAAAATCCTTTAAATGATTGCTATGTTCAGTCTCAATTAGTTCAATAATTAAAACTGTAATTAACTTAAAAATAAAGTATTTTCTGTATGTTACTGAAAAAATAAAACATTGTTAGGCCCCAAATCCTAGTGATGTAATTTTACATGTGGTCATGATTTTGTTTGTGAAAAAGCCAAAGACAAATAAGTAAACTTCTCCACCAGAATAAATAGGTGGCAGAAAAAAAAATAGAAAATTTGTCTTTCATAGTTATTATAGCCTAACTTCATGGGATGTGAGAAAATATTAGCATTTAAATACATTCTTAAGCCAATTTAAAAAAAACACATAACTTTTAAAAGAAAATTAAATATCTATTACATAAACCTACTTGCTATACATCCTATCCTCTGCAATGACAAAACATATTTGGTTTTCCATAAAAATAACTTCAAGTAACCTTCAACATTTATAATCATGAGTTTAAAAGGTATAATTTTGTTTCCCTAGAAAAAAAGTAATAGCTATTTTGGCATCAATATTCCTTTACCATAAGGTGCTTTACAAATATAATGTTTCTAAGAGCTTTTCTAAAGATGGAAATGAAGCAGATCAATATGCTGGTTTAATGCTAAAAAGGTCATAAATAAAATATTTATCATTTAAAAGCTAACTAGCTAAACATAAGTAAAAATGACTGTATTCTCAAGAGAATAATCAGTGTTTAATAAGAGATAGTGTCCCACTTTAGGGTGCTGATTAAAGAAATATGTTTATAGACTAGTTTAACTTTAGATGGTATTTTTTCCACCAAAACCTCATTTCCCTAGAATTTTACAATAGCAAAATAATAGTAGCAATAGTAATAATAATAATAATATTGCCAATACTTGTTAGATTTTTACTCTGACCTGAGCAATAAGTGCTAGAAGTATTAAGTACATTATTATATTCACAACAGTCTTTCCAAAAACCCCATGATCTAGTTTGTGATTGTTGCTGTTTCTGTAATTGCCCTCATTTTAATAAAGTGGCATCTCAGTCTTAGAGAAGTTAGCTGCCTCACCCAAGGATATACAGCAATATGTGATGGACACCAGTTTCAGTGCATTTAAGTAGAAAGCCAGTCCCTTCAAACTTAAAAAAAGGTAAATAAAAGGGTGACTGCATGGCTCAGAGGGTTAAGTGTCTGACTCTTGATCTCAGCTCAGATCTCAATCCTAGGGTCAAGCCCTGCATTGGGCTCTATACTGGGTGTGGAACTTACATTTAGGGAAAAAAAAAAAAAAAAGGTAAATGAAGATCTAATAATGGGCCAGGTAGATCATCATTGATCTATGGGATTTATTGTCTAGAACCGTTCTGCATGTGAGAAGGACCTAAGTGAAGTGGAAGAGGAGTGACTAGTTTAAAGCACAGGGTTATTGAGTCACTATGTCCAGAGGGTCTAATGCCCAATCAGGTTCATATTTTCAACTTCTCTTTTCTGAGCTTTGGTAGTTGAATCATGTGCAGTATATCAAAATGAATTCCTGTGGATTTTGAAAAACATTTTTAGCTTTACAGGTAGTCAAAGAAATTTCATTAGGTGAATTGTCCTTATTGTATTGTAATGGTACATTCAGGTAAGACTCATTTGTATTTAAAAATGGATAATGGAAAAAAATGTATAAAATGATTTTTACTTGTCTCTTCAGCCTTTCCTCAAAGTGGGTTCATGTGATACGAGAAGAGTGCTATGGAAAGTAGTAATTTCTCTGGATCTTACTTAGCTAGGCAATTTTCCTAAACTATCACTACCTAAGTAGTATGGTAAAGTTTGGTGGGGAACAGAGATTCTGAAAATGGCAGGAAAAAATTAATTTTCCTCTAACACAATTATATGTTTGTTTCCTGTTTTTCTTTATCAGAAATAAAAGAATTACAAGCAAAAGTATACTTGCTTGGGCATGGGAGCTGTAAGTTTGTTGATTCAATACTTAGGGAATTCTCACCTGCAACTTCATGGAGATGCTGTAGAAGTACCTCCATGTTTTAGCACAGGTCAACTACAAAGTCGCTGGGGAAGGTGCCAGGAAACATGTCATGGATAGAATGATTTTTTTATAAAACATGCGTTTCCTGGGGGGGAAAAAAAAAAGATATAGATGTGAGGCTCAGTCATTCAGTAAAAAATCAACTAAGATTCAGACAGGTGTGTCATCATTCAGCACCAGCTTATTGATTTAAAATAAAAAGTTATATCGATTCCTTTAGATCACGATCTCTTCAAGTCATTATTAAAATATTACACCGAATTTTAAAAATATAACTTAGAAAAACTTTGTTTTACATATGTATTTTTTTTTCAGAAGTGGTTTTCTCCAAACCAAGTCTGCATCTGTCCCTGTCTGTTACTTGCATTACACACCTCTTATATATTTAAGATGCCATTATGATGCTGAGTAATAAATGCATTGTATCATTAAAAAGGAGAATTATAATTTTATAATGTTATGTAAACAAACGTTGACATAATTGGGTTAATAATCACTTTAAAGATTTTATTTATTTATTTGAGAGAGAGAGAATGAGAGAGAGAGCACACGAGAGGGGCGAGGGTCAGAGAGAGAAGCAGACTCCCCGCCGAGCAGGGAGCCCGATGTGGGACTCGATCCCGGGACTCCAGGATCATGACCTGAGCCGAAGGCAGTCGCTTAACCCACTGAGCCACCCAGGCGCCCTAATAATCACTTTAAATAGAGGTGCCTGGGTGGCTCAGTGGGTTAAGCGTCTGCCTCCGGCTCAGATCACGATGCCAGGGGTCTGGGATTGAGCCCTGTGTGGGGCCCCCACCTAGGCTAGGTGGGAAGCCTGCTTATCCCTCTCCCTCTGCCTGCTGCTCCCCCTGCTTGTGTGTGCACTCTCTATCTGTCAAATAAAGTTTTTTAAAAAAGAATCATTTCGAATAATTCTCTAAAATTGTCCTATAAGAATTTTATTCTTTTCTTTCTAGATAACCCAGTATCGCCAGTTTAATCTCTTTCCATGGTGCTTATTTTTGTGCCAACACTGCTGTGACTGTGTAGTCTACCCACATCTTCAACTACAGTTATAAAACACTTGATTCATTTTCACTACCACTCTCCTCCTTGCTATTTGTACTTAATCAGCATATTTCATCCTATTCCCGGTCATCTCTTCCATGGATAATTTCTGTATGACTTTCAGGAATTCCTGCAGCCACACATCAAGGAAAAATGGCTCCCATCGTCCCCTACCTTCCCACGATAAGCTTCAGAAAGGTCATAAGTACCATAGCTCTGTACAAGTTTGCCTCTAGTCTAATATGATTTATTAAAATATTAACTGAAAAAAGTACAAGTAAGCCATTTATTCTAAAATGATGATTTTCAAAATATTCATATACAGATATTTTAAAGTGTGTTCTCTGTCAAAACAAAGTGCTTGGAGCACACATAATTTGCAAGTTTAAGACTTAAAACTAAGATAATTCCCTATAGGACATTTATTTAATCTTTTCTTACAGGAGTTTTGACTGTATTTTCCTTTTAGCAACGTGGTGATCCATTAATGGTTGTGACTTTCTGATACAGTACAGTTGGGGATGTGATAACATTCATTATCTTCCCCTCAGGGCATCAAAAAGTATATTGGAAACAGAGCTACTTAAGAGTTTTTTTCCAAATAAAGTTTGAAAAAATATTGCAAATCATTCACATGTCAGTTGCTTAAAATATTGTTCGAAAGCCAGAGAATGGTTCCCAACAATTATGAAATTAAAATTTGCCAGTGACTTATCGGTTTTTTCCTGTCTCTTTAGTTAAGATTTATTTTCAAAATAACTGTCTATTTTTTTCTAATTGGGAGCTTAGTAAAATTATTTTCTTTTATTTTTTAAGATACGCTTTTTAATGGTCTTGGGCTTGGAGCAGTCATTGGCCTGGGAGTGGCAGCACTCTTGCTAATCCTTGTGGTAACGGACGTCAGCTGCTTCTTTATTAGACAATGTGGGTTATTGATGTGCATCACGAGGAGAATGTGCGGGAAGAAGAGTGGCTCTAGTGGGAAAAGTAAAGAACTCGAAGAAGGAAAAGCTGCATACCTGTAAGTAGCAGACACTCACAACGCATTACATTACACAAGTGCTATGGTCAAGCTTGCAGACTTTGTTCAGGGACTTTTTTTCTGAGCAGAGTAAAGAGCTCGACTCTAAGACCATTGGACACTGTACTGTCTGCTTTCTGATCTTAAGTCTATATGACCTTAAATATAACATGTTATAGAGCCAAATGCTTTTGAAAGCAAACTATTAAAAAATCTTAAAATGGGATCCACACAAAAACTAATTAGTCATGATTTAAATAGAATTAGGAAAAAAAAGAAATAGAAATAGAAATATAGACAGTGGTACAAATGTATTTTTGATTTCTCCCACCATTTTTCAGTTTATATCGAATAAAAGAAGGACACCAACAGTAATCTGAGTTAAAAACTGGGGTAAACTGAGTAAAAATATAAATTATGCCAATTCCTTCAAGTGCAGGAGATGACTATATAGAGGTGTCAAGATTGTATAGCCATGATTTATGTGTGCTATGCGATACATTAGTATGGATTCTGAACTTAATCTTCCAAATTTTGATCAAAAGATGACTATATGTTAGAGTTTGGTACTCTCTGTAGCATCTCATTCAGTTAGAATATGAATTCCAAGAAAATACATAGAGCTGAGTACTATAGGGAACTCCTTTGTCATATAAAAGGGCAACTAAGAGGTTTTAATACTTTTTGTTTGGGTTGGTGGTGTTTTGCTAGATCTGAACCTAATCTCAAAAAGTACAATAGGCTCAATGAAAAAAAAGTTAGAAGGCACAGGAGAACATGCACACCCACATGTAATATAAACACACAATGTTTATGTGTATGTGTATGTGTGTTTGTATACATATACCTATGTGTGTATATTAAACCCTGTAATCAAAAATAACTATTCTTAAGAATTAAGAACATTTCCTTTACCTTTTAAATCTCTTTAAGTCTTTCTGTTACATGTCTAAAACATACAAAAGAGTTAAAAGAATTTTATAGCCGACACCCATTCATCAACTACTTGGATTCTGCAAAAGATACTTGATTATATTTCTCTTATCCCATATTTATCTATTCCTCAATCCATTATTTTGCTTTTTGCATTTCAAAGTGAATCCATACACTTAACCCCTACACGGTTCAACTTGCCTAGCATTGCATGCAGTTTTGTTAATGTTTTCTTTAGGTAAAACTTACATAGAGTAAAATGCATAAAATGTTCTATTTGATGAGTTTTGACACATGTTTATATCTGTATAACCCAAGCCCTATCAAAATTCAGAAACTTAATATCATCCTCAAAATTTCTCTAATGTTTCTACCCAGACAACTCATATTCCTCCCCCTGCCCCAGGCAACTACTAGTCTGATTTTTTTCATCATAAATAACTTCTAGCTGTTATAGAACTTGATAAAAATTGATTCCTGTAATGTTTACTCTTTTGTGTCTGGCTTTTTTCATTCAATCATGTTTTAAGATTCATTCATGGTGTTCTGTTTATCAGTAATTCATTTATTTTTTATTGTTGAGTCATTTCTATTTGTTTTTCTATACATACATTTAGGCATGTAGAGCCTCATGCATTAATTTCTAGGCTTAGCAATATAGGAAAATCCATTCTTCATGGCTGCATTGTTTTTTGTTTTGTTTTGTTTACATCTCCAAGCCTATTTCAATCCTACTATACAATTTGTCTATGACCACTTCTTACGGACTCTCTATAAGGGATATTTTCACTTCGTGAGATGCTAAATTAGATAACATACATTTTCATTTCAAAAAAACATTAGATTCATTTCACAATCAAAATGCCACCTACTTACTTGTTGGACACAGAACACAGCAAAGAACAAACAGAAATCAGGCTCTGCTTCACACTTGAATGGGATAGTAACATGTGCCATATTAAACATAGTGGGATCAATTCACTATCCAGTATCTCCTGCTTTCCTCATTAGAACAGTCTACTTTTTACTAACCTGCTGTGCTTTTACATTGTCTTATTAACTAAATAAACAAATACCAAACTCAGTTCTAGTCTGTTTTTCACGTATTGAGAAAACCCTGTGTTTGTAACATAATCATATATAAATATATTGATTGCTATATTGATATATTGATTTTATTTATTTATTTATTTATTTGAGAGAGAGAGAGAGCTGGGATAGGGAAAGAAGGTGAGGGAGAGGGAGAGAATCCCAAGGAGGCTCCCCGTGCAGGGTTTGATCTCACGACCTGAGACCATGACCTTATCCAAAACCAAAGATCAGACACTTAACTGACTAAGCGAACCAGGCACTGCCAGTTAAGTGTTTAAAGCTTACTTTAGCTACTTGTGAACAATGAATTACTGGAAGGTTGATAGGTGTAGAGGAAAGTTTGAGAATCAGAAAGATTGAGTGGGAGGATCTTGAAATACTCCAGGTAAAAAATGATATTCTTTGGGACCAAGGTAGCAGTACTATAGGCAGATAGAAATGTTTGGAGTCTAGATAAAGCTGAGGTAGAGTCAACTACTATTGATTGATTTGGCTTTGGGGTGAAAGAAAGAGAAATCATGTTTTTGTCTTAATTAACTGGAGGGATATTGGTGACTGTGTGCAAAACAATGAGGTATATTCAAGTTCTGCCATTTATTTTTATTTCACTCTATTAATTGGTAATTTATCCATCAACACTTTGGTTTCTAAGTCCTGCTGGGTTTAATTAACCTTAAAGACTTGGGAAGATGAAAACACGGAGTTCATTCTGTGTTTGTTATCCATCATAAGTTTTTATATTTTCATTTCCCCTGCTTTGGGAAAATAGTTTTCAACTCTTTTTCAAAAATTCGTTGTTTGAATTAGGAAGATATTATACTTTTTTTTTCTCAAAAATGTTACATAAAATCACAATGGGAAATAGAATATTCCTGATTTGGATGGACTGGATCTCTACTGGCCTCTAAACATGATCAGAAGTATTCTTAGACTAGTACTTTCATGTTATCACAATTATAAGACTGTGCAGATTTTTACAGAATATGTTAATTACACACTTAGAGTATTCTTGTTTAAAGAGTATCAAGTTCCAGAAAAGAGAAATAAAGTCAGTTGCATACAGAATGTCATTCATGTAAAGTTCTAGAATATTCCATTATTTGGCTCTTATAAATTTAAATTAAACTTACCTTTATCTTGCATTCTCATCATTTAATAAAAATGGTGAATGGTTTATACTTTATCAAACTATGCTTATACTCTTGTCCACCCAAGCATTAATTTATGCTAATAAATATTTATTGAACACCTACATAGTCAGGCACTATTCTAAGCCCCAGAGATACAACTGTGAAGAAAAGCAAACTAGTCCCATCATTTAGCTTTTACTCTGCTGGGAAAATGTTTCAGTAAAAAAAAACAATCAAATTGATGAATAAATAAATAGTTTCTGTTATAAATGCTACATAAAAAAAAGAATTTTCCTGGTTGGACTTAAGTTGTAAAGGAACTAAAATATTAAAAACTAATAGAAAGTAATTAGCCAGTGTGTGTGTGTGTGCGTGTGTGTGTGCGTGTGTGTGTGTGTGTGTGTGAGAAAATGGCTTTTCAATGTACAGAGAGATATCCAAACCAGCCCCCTTTACTGCCAGGTGAGAGAAGGCAAATATATAACTCCAGTCCACTCCAGCCATCCTGACTCACTTCAGGGGGGAATCCCGAGAAACAATGGTGAACTTTGGAGTCCAAGGGTGCAGACTTAATAATGACTGAGGCCTAATGATAGGATTATTGAATGCACCCTCTCCACACGCCACTATTCCACCGCATTAGTAAATACCTATATTTAGCAGTTCCTTCTAACCAGTATATCATGTCCCAGGATCAAGAAAAACTATAAGGTATACTCAAGGCAACAATCATTTTGAAGAGGTAGAACTAGCATCAGGGCCAGATTCAGAGAAGGCAGGGATGTTGGAATTATCAGACCAAGATTTTTTTTAAGTATATGATTAATATGGTGAGAACACTGTAAGAGAGCATGAGAGATGGGCCATAGAGCAGAGAGATGGAAATTCTGAAGAAGAATCCAAAAGAAGTGCTAGAGACCAAAAACATCCTAATAGAAATGAAAAATGTCCCGGAGGAGCTTACTAGTAAACAAGACATGGCTGAAGAAAGAATCTCTGAGCTTTGTGGAGATCTTAATAGAAAATACCAAAACTTACAAGCAAACAGAGGGACACCTGGGCGGCTCAGTTGGTTAAACTTCCAACTCTTGATTTCATCTCAGGTCATGATCTCAGGGTTGTGAGATCGAGCTCCATGTTGGGCTCTGTGCTGGGCATGGAGCCTGCTTAAGATTCTCTCTCTCCCTCTCCCTCTGCCCCTCCCTGCCTCTCTCTCTCTAAAAAATAAATAAATAAATAAATAATAAAGACTGAAAAAAATCCACAGAAAAAGAACTATGGGACAACTACACAAGGTGAAACATATGTGTAATAGGAATACCAGAAGGAGAAGAAATAGAGACCGAACAGAAATATCTGAAACATTAATGACTGCGAACTTCCCCAAATAAATATCTGACACAAAACCACAGATCCAGGAAGCTCAGAGAACACTGAGGAGTGCAAATGCCCCAAACAAAACAAAATAAAACAACAAAACTATACTTAGTCATATCATTTTCAAACTACAGAAATTCAAAGATAAAGAAAAATTCCTGAAAGAAGCTAGAGGAAATAAATACCTTATCTATAGGAAGCAAAGGTAAGAATTGCATCTAATTTATGTACACATGCACACACACACTGCTATGTATAAATACGCACATATATATGTACATCTATTATTGCAATGTTTTCTCAGATAGCAATGAAGCTTCAAAAGGTACCTTTTCAGCATGTAAATTTCTGGCTCATTCTTTTTATAAATAAGTAGTATTCTATAGTATCAAATACCATCATGCATCTATCCCCTTGTCTTTGATGACAATTTAGATGAAACTTTCAATATTTTATCATATTGAAGTATAATATGCAGTTTGAACTTAACTTTTACATAAATTTTGTTGTAAATGTACATTATGCTCCTAGACAGGGAATGTAAATTAAAACTGAAAAATACTGACAAATTGCCCACAAAATTCTATACTAACTCATACTCTTAATAAAATCAGAGAATATATATTTCTCTATAGCTTTTCAAACAAACATTAAATATTATCAATTTATGTTTATTTTTTCAATATAATAAGTGAAAGATATCATTTAAAATTTGCATTTTTCTGATCCAGATTAAGTCTGAGCTTATTTGTTTTATGATTTCTCTTTGGTCACTTTATTTCTTCAGGGAGTTTCTTGTTCATATTCTGTACAAATGTTCATGGAGTTATTTAACTTTTCTCTAACTTTTTAATTATATAATATGGCCCTTAATTATTTGACGTCATATTTGTTGCAAATATTTTCCCCAGTCTATTCCAAAGTTTGATTTTCTTATGATGCCATTAATTATATGAATCTTTCCATTTTTATTTGAGAACCAATGGATTTTATAGATATTTCTTTCTTAGTGTGTTTTGAGATATTTTCATTTTGTTTTTCTTTAATTTGTTGAAGTTGCAAGTTTTAGTAATGTATTTCCCAACATAAATCCTCTTTGCCCTCCTAGAACACTGAAGACGGTTACTGTTTCAGGGCTTCATATATGTCAGGCACTATTTCAAACACTGAAGAAATTAGTTTGGTGTCACTATCATCTCTGTTTTACTATCCAGGCAACAGGACAGAGAAATGCTTATGCCGTAAGTTAATGAAAGTCAGCTAGTTTGGACCCAGGGCACATCATTTTAACGATTCTGCTGTACTTGTCATTTCCTGCTTAATAATCAGTTTTAGAAACCTGGCAGGAATTTATTTAGTTTTTACCAGTCTATACATTGTGAAATTGTCCATAAATTGTGGCATACATTTTTATGCCAATTTAAATAAAATACTGCCTTACCATTTTTTTATAATACGACAGAAAATATCAGTAATAGTTCTGATATCATTTCAAGTAAAATTAAATATAATTTATACAAGATAGGCATTAGACTCATGGAAATTATATGTGTGCTTCAGATATTTTCACCTAAGGGTAAGGAAAATATGCATTTCATACTCCTTATAGTATTTATTTTAATAGAAGATATTGGAAACAACTTAAATGTCTGTTGGTTGGACACTGGCCAGATATATAGTGCATACATACAATGGGATAGTATGTGCCATGAAAAAGAAAGAGGCAGCCCTAAATGTTCGAGCATTCATCGAAAAGGCAAAATTATATTCAGTTAGTATGTACCATTTGTATAAAAATAACTCCCTGCATTTTCACACATATATGCTAGTATATGAATAGAAGGAATGTCTCTGGAAAACAGTTTGAAAATGTGCTTGTCTCTATGATAGGTAACTTAATATCCTGTAAATAGGAATGGTAGGGACGTGTACCTTTCTCTATATACCCTTTGTAGAATTCTATAATATATGACTACACTAGCTAGTTACAAATGTAAAAGATCACTAAAAACAAAAATAAGGATTTTAAGACAACTCACCCATGTTCTCTTCTAACTCTTCTAATTTCCTTTTAGTAATGTTTATTTTATTATTTCTAGTTTAAAGTGGTTTGCTTATGTATTATTTTCAATACATAAGCAAAGGAGGATACAATTAAAATCCAAATTCACTATCTTCTTTTTTTTGCATTCTATTTTATTTAATTCACACCCCTAGATCTGCACCTGCTAATATAAACATAAAATCCAACCCTTTGAATCACTTTTTTGCTTAGAGTCAGCAATAGCCACATTTTTCCAAACAGTATCATCCTCTATGTCATCAAGGGCATTGATATCATGAAGAATTTTTTAAAAGAATCAATTTTGTTTGCAAGAAACAACAGCAAACAAAACAACATAAAGCTCAAATTTAATGGTGGTGGGCTCTTTAATCATCTTTTCTACTGTGTAGATCTTGCTTCCTTGTAGTCCCTATTCAGGTTTGCTGAACACATCAGAATCACCAGGTCTCACAGACATTTGCATTTTAGAGGTATAAAAGGTTCTTCACTCTTAACTCTAGATTATAGAGTTCTAGATTTTCTTCCATTTCTATTAACATCCATTCTTCAGATTTTGAAGTGTATGTATGTGAGGGACCTACATACTGAAATAAGAGCAATATCAAGCCTGCCACCTGATCAAAAGTGTTTTATCATTCTCAATATTTTCCTGTTCAAGAGTCAGCATTTGTAAGGTATGTTAAATATTTGTGCCATTGTTGGGGTTTTGTTGTTTGATTTATTTTGTATGTACTCTTAGTTTACTTGATTTTTAAGAACTAATTTTAATGTCATATATCTGTCATTACAATATTAAATAGATTTAATGTGCCCAGTCCTCCATCATTACATCCCTCCCTCACCTTCAACCTCCAGCAAACAATGATTTTATTTTCTCTATAATTTTGCTTTTTATAGAATTCAGTGTAATTGGGATTACATAGTATGTAGCCTTTTCAGACTGGCTTATTTTCCTTATCAATATGCATTTAAAGTTCTCCCAGGTCTTTTTGTGGCTAGATAGCTCATTCCTCTTTATTGCTGAATAATATCCAACTGTATGGATGTACCACAGTTTGTTTATCCATTCATCTGTTGAAGGACATTTTACTTGGTTCCAATTTGGGGCAGTTATGATAAAACTTCTATAAACATTCATGTAGAGATTTTTGCATGGGCATAAGTTTTCAGTTCATTTGGGTAAATATGTTAGAGTACAGTTGCAAGATTATATGGTGAGACTATGTCCCTGGGTATGTGAGGACCCCTATCCCTCCCTTACGTTTTTTTTTTTTTGTATTTGTGTAATAATTATAATCTCTATTACGAGTGTATCATTCTCAATGCTTATATCTCACTTTATCCTTTGTCATCACTAAATGCCTTCCTTGTTTTTCTTTCGTTTTGTTCATTTTTTGAGGAATGAAACCTTAGTGTAAACTTTCTAATTTTATGAAAATTCCACAATTATGTAAAATTATACTTATTCTCATATTTTAAAAATCCAATAAAATGACATGGATTTGAAATTACAAATGAAAACATCATGCATATGTGTTATAATATTGTTTTTATGTAAACTATTTTCTTGAAAACATGAATATGTATAGTCAATATCATATTATAGTTAAAATCATTCATATAATTCATAAAAACATTTAAAACAATGCTACATCTCATATAGATAAATTTTATCTTCTAAATTTTAATATAGAAGCAATATTTCTGATGCTATATTTCAAATTAAAAAAATCTAAAGCATATGGCTTCTTAGGGGGAAAAAGCTATTTCATGTCATAATTTCCTTTAACAAAATATTTTTTTATTTATTTCCCAACATAAACTGTACAATCAAATTTAAAATTTGGACTTTTGCAAAAAATTAACACAATTTTGATGAAAAAAAAGAATTCTAGATAAAATGGAATTTCTCCTTTCTATTTTTTCTGAGTGAAAATTATGTGGGTGAGATGAATTTAAATGAAAAAAAAATTCTTAGGGTATTCTTAACCTGACCATGCTGGATTTTTGGCAGGCGGAGGTGGGATTATGTGGAGATTCTAAACTATGTTTCATAATGCATCTATTTTTACATTACATAACTAAGGTTTTCTTGTTTGTTTAATTTTCTAGGAAAGATGGATCTAAAGAACCAATAGTGGAGATGAGAACAGAGGATGAAAGAATCACTAACCATGAGGATGGGAGCCCAGTAAATGAGCCAAATGAAACCACACCACTAACAGAACCTGAGTAAGTAGATTCAAATGCTTTATTATTTTTATTTTTATTTATTTTTATTTTTTAAAGATTTTATTTATTTGACAGAGAGACAGCGAGAGAAGGAATACAAGCAGGGGGAGTGGGAGAGGGAGAAGCAGGCTTCCCGTGGAGCAGGGAGCCCGACGCGGGGCTCAATCCCAGGACCCTGGGATCATGACCTGAGCCGAAGGCAGACGCTTAACCACTGAGCCACCCAGGCACCCATCAAATGCTTTATTATTTTTAGATAAATATTTGTAAAATGATAACATTATCATTCCTTGTAGTATATATTTACAAATAACATTTGTAGAAAAATATTTCTTTTTCAAAGAAAATAGATGAGAATATCGAAAACCATTTTCTAGAGAGACATTACATATGAAAATTTTGTATCAATGCCAGAGAAAATCTACTGTTCAAACATATATTTATAATTTTATGTAAAAATGTCAAAAAGATGGAACATGTTAGAGTTGGATTTTCTCACGCTTATTTTACTCTTTAAGAAAGTGATACTTTCAAGGCACCTGGAGTGCTCAGTCAGTTAAGGTTAAGTATATGACTCTTGATTTCGGTTTAACTCATGATCTCAGGGTTGTGAGATTGAGCCTGTGTCTGGCTCTGTACTCAGTGGGGAATCTGCCTGAGATTCTCTCTTTCCCTCTCCCTTTGCCCTTGCCCCCTCCCCCACTCATGCATTCCTTCTCTCTTTCTCTAAAATAAATAAATAAGCAGCATCTGAGTGGCTCAGTGGTTAAGCATCTGCCTTCGGCTCAGGTCATGATCCCAGGGTCCTGGGATTGAGTCCAGCTTTGGGGTCCCTGCTCAATGGGGAATCTGCTTCTTCCTCTGCCCCTGGCCCTGCTTGTGCTCTCTCACTCTCTCTCAAATAAATAAATAAAATCTTAAAAAAAAAAAAAATTAAATAAATAAATCTTTAAAAAAAAGAAAGTGATACTTTCAAAATGTGATTTTTACTGAAATATAAAAGGGTCAGGAAATGAGCCATTACTCTGAATATGAATATCACAATTTAAAATAAAAATTAATAGTCTGAAAATGTACACAAGTCTACTTTAAAAAGAAAAATATTCATTAGAAAGAAGAAGAAATACTGTTAAATTGTCTATCTCTTTTTTTAAAGATTTTATTTATTTATCAGAGAGAGAGAGACAGAGGCAGGCAGAGGGAGAAGCAGGCTCCTTGCTGAGCAAGGAGCCCACTGTGAGACTCAATCCCAGGACCCTGGGATCATGACCTGAGTCGAAGGCAGATGCTTAACTGAGTGAGCCACCCAGGTGTCCCAAATTGTCTATCATTTTAATGTCTATATAGGAAATGGTGCTTGCTATCCATTCAAGATTATATTATTTACTTCTTTCTGTACCCATCAGACCTCCATTATAGCCATAGCAGATATTTCAACTAAATCTGCAAAGATGATGAACATGTGCAAAGATGATGTTCAGACAATATGAAAGTTAAAATGATTCAAGCCAAAGACATTACTAAGGAATGATAATAGTGTTCTATGGAATATATTGAATACAAACAAAACCATGACTATCACGTTATTCTTTAAATACTGCTCACTAAAATTACTTCTAAATTATATCGGGGTTTTTTTGTTTGTTTGTTTGTTTGTTTGTTTTTATAAGGATTCCTTTTTCTTTACCAGAAAACACTTATAGAGAAATTTAATTTGGGTTTCTTATCCTAAATGGAAGGCTGTATGTTGTCACAAGTGAAGAAAATAACTTATTTCAGAAACGCCTGCTATCTGCTCTCAAGGGGCTGAAATAATTACTATTTAGAGAAATACAAAGTACTACTATGCAGCTAAATTTTCAGTATAAATCCTCAGGTCATGGCAGTGACTGCATTTAGAGATTATTACCTTCTAAATTGAAGCTTACTCTTGTAGAGGCAGCTTTTACAAGGTGGGTTCTATAGTTTTTCCTTCAGAAGTTAGAAGTCTTTTCAATGAAGCAAAATTTTATACAACAAAACACATTTCTGTCTGTTGATTAACACTTACAATGAGAGATTGGTGCGTATGAAAACTAGCTAAGAACTGGGTATTATATGTAAATGATGAATCGCTAAATTCTACTCCCAAAACTAATACTACACTATATGTTAACTAACTGGAGTTTAAATAAAAACTTGAAAATACAAAAAACAAAACAAACAAAACAAAAAACTAGCTAAGAAAATGCCCTTACATGTGACAGAGCAATATTTTGCAAAAAATAAAACAAAAACACAAAAAGATGATCTAATAACTACTCCAATCCTCAGCTATAGAAATGAAATACTCAACATAAAAATAATAGAATTAACTGTAATCTTTTTTTCTTTAAGATTTTTATTTATTTATTTGAGAGAGAGAGAATGAGAGAGAGAGAAAGCACATGAGAGGGGGGAGGGTCAGAGGGAGAAGCAGACTCCCTGCCGAGCAGGGAGCCCAATGCGGGACTGGATCCAGGGACTCCAGGATCATGACCTGAGCCGAAGGCAGTGGCTTAACCAACTGAGCCACCCAGGCGCCCCAAATTAACTGTAATCTTTAAAGAAAGCAATTTAACATAAATTTAAGTAGTGAAAACTATATATGCAAAAATTCATCATCCAAGAATTAGTTGAAAACACTGGTTAATTCCAGTATTATAATTCTTTGAGTAAAAATATATTAAGTATTATGCTAACCTTCCACCCAAGCTCTAAATTTCTCTATATTTTGCTGCTTAGAAGTGACCTTATTGGTTTTATCTTTTATTATCAATATTTGCCATACTTGGGAGTGGGAGAATGGAAGAACTGTGAAAGCATTATTTATAATACACAGAAAAGAACCTGCCCTAACAGGTATAAAGTAGATGCTGTTTCATTCCCAGCAATGGGATGTAGTAACATTTACCCGTGCCTTACTTGTGATTGGTTAGTTTTCACAGAATAGCTTTGATCTTCAGAACATAATGGCTTGCTCTTCTCATTCAAAAACAGAAAAGAAATTACACATAAATCCCAGAGAAATTAGCATAGTAGCATTCACTGCCCCACAAAATGGTGACCTTAAAGTACAGAATTGAACTGGAATTTGTTTTTGATGTGGAAAAAATATTTTGTCAAGGGAGGAAATCTTCCCCCCAAAGCTGTGTAAATAAGGCATAATCATAAACCACTGGATTCAAGACCAGTAGAAAAAACTATACATCTTGAATCATTGTCATCATAGTAAGATTTGTGAAGCTATTGTTAAAAAATAAAGGGCCACCTGAGTGGCTCAGTCAGTTAAGTGTTGGCCTTCAGCTCAGGCATGATTCCAGGGTCCTGGGATCAAGCCCTGCATCAGGCTTCCCACTGAATGGGGAGCCTACTTCCTCCTCTCTGTCTGCCCCTTTCCCTGCTCTTGCTCTCTCAAATAAATAAGTAAAATCTTAAAAAAAAATAAAAAGAAGAAAGGAAGCAAGCAAGCAAGCTGGTTTTCCTTCATAGGTTATAATTGAAAGCAACTCTTAAAAAAATGTGCATATAAATGATACAAAAATAACAAAAAATAATAGTGAAAAGAGACCAATTAAAGAAAACATATACAATAAATGTAGAAAAGTGAGAAAGTCCTGAAATATATTTACTTTCATTAAGTTCCAAAGAACATAGCTAATTCACCCAGCTTTTGAAGAATGTAACAAAATATGGCAGCAAATATTAATGATTTTTATTTGAAAAAACTTAGGTACTAGTAACTCATCTAGTTGACATATAAAAATAGTGGCTTGTGGGGGCCTGGGTGGGTCGGTCAGTTAAGCATCTGCCTTTGGCTAAGTTCATGATCCCGGGGTCCTAAGATAGAGTCCCGCATTGGGCTCCCTGCTCCATGGGGACCCTGTTTCTCACTCTGCCTCTCTCTGTCTTTCTGTCTCATGAATTAAAAAAAAAAAATACCGGCTTGTTTAGATTCTAAACAATTCTATTTTATGTATCAATAACTGGTTATCAAATCTAAACCACCCTATAGTGAACGATTTTGTGCATCGAAATCTACAAATACATTGTTTCATTCATCATTTTGCAGTACATCACATTTTTACAATGGACAATATTGTCTAATTATTTTTCTATCATTTTGATATGACTTTAACAAATCTGATTTTTTTCATTCTAATAATTGTAGATATTGACTTCTATAAGGCAGTAACTTAGGATTAAGGAGTACCACTTAAACTGCATTAGAAAATGAAGGTCATTATTTTATATTTCCTTCCAGAAAATTGCCTTTAAAAGAAGAAAATGGAAAAGAAGTCTTAAATCCAGAAACTATAGAAATTAAGGTTTCTAACGACATCATACAATCAAAAGAAGACAGCAAAGCATAACACCAAGATCACAGAGGCTTGAACAATGCTACAAACAGCATTTGGATTGCAGTGACCCTATGACCAAAACTATTCCATTGACCTTAATTTCTTGGGGAACTTCTAGCTTGGAATAGCTTGTACACATATACATATGATCAAATATTCCTGCCCATGGTCCATTAACTTTGGTTGTTGTTGTTATTGTTGTTGTTCATTTTGTTATGAATTTCAATATAGAGACCTAACTGGCATCAACTCTTGGGTATCAATTTGATTCTGTGATTGAAATACTGCAATTTATTATACAGCTAAAGTGCTCTGTTTCTTAAGGACTATATATTTCATTGACAACCTCTCCCACAAATAGGGGTTTAAGAAAAAACAAAAGGGAAAAAAAAGCTTTGTGAGCTAAATGTGTAAGAAAGCCCTGCATGTTTTTCATCCTATCTTGGGCAAACAGATTATTAACGTGGATTTCAGTTTAAGATGAAAACAGTTAATAATTATCAGGAGAATTTCAGGGAACTTGGGCTTGAAGGAGCCAGTTATCTTTAGCAGATATTAAAAATTGAGAGAAACTTTGGAAAATTCTAAGTTATAGTTACAGTGCTATTTGAATGTTAAGTTTTGATAGACTGAATTGCCAGATCAAAATTGTTACCCATTTGAACGAATATTAGTTGTGTGTAAAATTAGATTAGAAAGATTCCGTAAATCTCTCTCTATATATATGCCATAATCACTCACAATGGATTACACAAAAAAAAAATGTATTGCAAGTGAAAATAATATTGATTTCTGCCCTCAGCTTCAAATAAAGTAAATTGAAATGGTAACAATATCAATGTTGTCTTGATATATTTATAAATATGTGATTATATTTTACTTTTTAAATAATTTTATCCAAAAAAATAAGTCCTTAGTGTTGAAATACTTCAAACCATATCCTCAGATACATTTTTTTGACCATTGTTTTAGATGATCTTTGTTTAAAAATTCATTTTCCCAGTGTTATAGGTCCATCATTAAATGTAATTGGCTAATGGAAATTAAAATCCTTAGTGGTTAAATAAAGAAGAAAATAACATGTAAACATGCCATAAAAGTGTCAGTGATAAACAACTGAATTGCCACTATCTGTTTTTCTTTTGTGTGTTGTAGCTAGCAGTCATTTTAAGATTTTGATAAACAACTTTGGTTGAAGAAATTCCTTGGCTATTCAACACAAACTTTCTAATATTACTTGTTAGGGCCTATACCAGAATAAAATACTTATTAACTTCCAAGCTATGCAAGCTCCCAGAGGTAAAAGAATAAAACATGATTTTCACTCATATGTAAGGTAAAATAAATGTATTTATGATTATAAATACACATACCAGTTGGGAGCAGGTTTTAGATTATTTGTTACCCTAGAGAGCCAAAGGTTTCTTTAGGCCCCATTACATTCATAATCTTTAGTGTTTCAGGTGGTATTATAGCTCAAATATTGACTGGTTGGGGAATGCATACCAATAGAACATTGGAGGAGAGTTTTAACAGTGCAGGTCAACCTTCTCCCCGTGTCTCTCTATAGAGATAATTTGGTGATATATTAAATGCAATATTAATGCTACTCATGAACACTCTCATTTACAAAGTGCTTGAAACTGTCAGGCAAGGAGAGACAACCAACTAATTTTACAAACCTTTAGTTATTAGCAGGACAGAATGTGTCCGTCTGCATGTTCATGCACTAAATCTCCAGTGTCGTTGCCATAATTCACAGGATTATAGTGCAGGAATCTCCCCTTGATATTTTTTTCTGGCATATTCTGAAGAAAAAGATTTCCTGTGCCTACCTAGGAATTTGAGTAGATAATATCCAACTGGTCTTTTGATAGATTTGACTGTTGCTATTTAAGTCATGTTTCTCTGATCATCTCTTTGCTTTATTGGACTGTTTTCCCCCCTTTTGTACCAATGTGCTATAACTAGTCAAAGTACTTGAATTTGTTTGTGCAAAGTAAACAAGCATAGTAAAATGTCCATGAAGCAATAGCCATGAATGCTAATTTTTCCTGGATAAGGCTGGTTTTAAACTAATAATGGTGGAAGAATTAGGAAAACTGAGAAACCAGTTTAGCATGTTTACTATTAATATATTTGTGCTATACTTCAAGAGCAGAGAAATCATAATAAAGAACAAATATTTTTGTGTTTCTTCAATTTGAAAATTCTGTCTCTCTCGTTTCTTTGGACTTTCCATGTAAAGCAATTTACTTAAATATTTCTTTTATATATATACATATATAGATACATATACACATATATGCTGTTAAATTTCTTGCCACTAATGTGGAATAATGATCTGAGGTTAGCAGATAATTTGAAACTAATTGTAGACAGACTGTTTCAAGTGCACTGTTTCAGTTGTCTGGGTGGTCCTTATCTGTCTTCGATATCTATGCCATTCAGGAGCAAGGCAATACTGTGATTAAAAAAAAATAATAACATTTCAATGGAATGCTCCAACTTACTCTATTTGTAAAATTCTCCAAATAAGAGATTCTTGTAGTAAATTGTAAAATATGAGTAGAACTGAAATAATCTGTTCTTATTTTTCATTCTTATTCTAGATTAAACATGCCATATAACTGTATAAATGTTATTTTTACTGTCTGAGAGTACTCTTAAATGTTAATATAAAATGTCAAAAGAGTTGACTGAATATAATAAGTAGGGTTAAATAATAAGAACCCTATGCTAATTCAAACAAAGAAGAAAAATATCACTGAAAATATTGGTATTTCTTGATAGGTTATGTGCAATTAGGCAATGACAATCTATATTCAACAACATATAAGAAAGAACAGTAATATCAGCATTTTGATAAATATTTTGTTTTTAAAACTGGCACAAATTAATGTGTCAACACATTTTACAATGATCGGCAAAAGAATTTAGAATTGTGACTTCTAAAAATTTATTTATTATTTTTGTGGATAGATTTATTGCCTTTCTATTGATGCTAATGTCTAACATTAATGTAATGTTTCTCTAGTTTTCCCTTATTTTTAATATTAATACCTATAAAAGCATTTTTCAAAGACTATTTGATCTGGCAAACTTTACATGAATCTTAGTCTTTGATTTAAACATTTATATAAATAGAAGGATTTTATTAATCAAAATATTTATTTGAGTGCCAACAATGAACTGTAACTTTATAATCTTACCTTTATTTTATGCTTCTTATTTTAAATAATTAAGATGTATTTGTGCCTTTGGATTAGCATGACATTCTGCTTTATTAAAAAAAAACAACTGCAATCTTTATTGATATATTTCGCTCGTATCTGTGACACTTAAATGGTACTGTTTTATTTACATTTAGTGAATAAGCTCAATTCAAATTACTTTACCTTGAATACAAAATCTAAATATAACAAATTATACTGTGTAACTTATTTTCACTTATGACAAAGCAATTCTTTTGATACACACATAAAATATATTTCATTTTGTCTGTACTGTTCTAGATAATAAATACATTCTAGATATTGTTAAAATTGAGTTCTACCACTTATGAGACAATGACAACAGATGACATTTTAAGATAGGGTAAATTATTTTAGTGTCACTTGGGTCTACATTATCCTGTTGTACATTTGTTTGGGCATCATACATCATCCTTTATCATTGATGGTAAGATAACCTCTGATAAAAAATGTACAACTGAAGTGACAGAAAGAATGATCTCCATTTCTTAATTTAAGAAATATTGGAATAGCATATTAGAATTACCTATTAAAGTTGCAATTTCCTTTTTCATGAAGAATGATGTACATGCTAAATTTCAGTTGCTCATGGAGTTCTTTCTCACAATCATATCCAGAGTGCTTACTCAACAAACTTTAGGAGTGGGTGAAACTATTTTTTTAAATGAATTGTTTACATTATTTATCTTTAGAGAGGAAAGATTTGAATCTTTGTATTAATTCTTTGAAGCATTATTATAAGTATTAGGGTATGCTAAAATTAAACTATAGAAGGTCACAGAAATGAAGTACTTCAATCCTAAAATGAAAATCTTTCAAGAAAGTATCCTACTCATGGGTTTAATCATGTTCTGAGATGAAACAATTATATGCGTAAATGGGAAACATAAAAGAGCCTAGATGTAGTACTTGCTGAACAAATACAATTTCCTTCCAGGTCCTTCCTCCCCTTTTTAAAAAATTGCATTTACCCATGTAGATGAATCTGTTTAACAACATTATATGAGAATGCTAATAGATTATTTCCCCTCATAAAGTTTTATATTATATATAATGTTTAATATTTATTCAATAACACATTTAATATTCTTAAAATATAGCTCATTATTCACTATGGATTTTTATTAATAACTTAAATACTTTAGCCTGGCATCACCACTTTAATTTTTTATATAATTTTTAGGATTTTGGCCACAGCATGTTTGTTAATTATTAATATAAAAATTAGTTATATAAATTTAATATTGCCACATTTTTTTTCTAAAATAAAAACACGTAACACACTAAAAGTTGCATCTGGTTTTAGCCTTCTTTGGGAAAAAATAAGCAACGCAATTACTTGGAGCATTTCAAATCACAGCCAGGCATACGAAAATAGAGGAACAAAGAACTGAAAGAATCAAGAAAGGCAAACTGAACTCTTACATTTGGGGTAGACAGGAAAGATGTTAGTGTGAAAAGTGCTGGACCAGGGATTAGGAAACACTGCTTAGATAAAAATTAAGGCCAATTATATTGATGCAAAGAGAAAGCTGAGTGAAATACAGAGGAGAAAGATAACATAGAACCTAATATTCAATTTTGCAGATGGGATTTTTTTCAAGAACAATATGCATTGTATACAATAAATGGTACTGTTAAAAGCAAATATATTTGTTCCAATTCTTAAAAGAATGTTCATGGTTTAGCATTTTTGCTTCTAAACTCTGTTAAGAGTATGTGAACTTCTTACAAATAAAGTTAAAAAAACTTTTTTTT